ATGGTAAACTGGACATCCATGGTAAACTGGACTTCCATGGTAAACTGGTCTCCCATGGTAAACTGGTCTCCCATGGTAAACTGGACTTCCATGGTAAACTGGTCTCCCATGGTAAACTGGTCTCCCATGGTAAACTGGACTTCCATGGTAAACTGGACTTCCATGGTAAACTGGTCTCCCATGGTAAACTGGACTTCCTTAGTAAACTGGTCTCCCACGGTAAACTGGACTTCCACGGTGAACTGGACTTCCACGGTAAACTGGACTTCCATGGTAAACTGGACTTCCATGGTAAACTGGACTTCCACGGTAAACTGGACTTCCACGGTAAACTGGTCTCCCATGGTAAACTGGACTTCCATGGTAAACTGGACTTCCATGGTAAACTGGTCTCCCACGGTAAACTGGACTTCCACGGTAAACTGGACTTCCATGGTAAACTGGACTTCCATGGTAAACTGGACTTCCATGGTAAACTGGACTTCCACGGTAAACTGGTCTCCCATGGTAAACTGGACTTCCATGGTAAACTGGACTTCCATGGTAAACTGGTCTCCCATGGTAAACTGGTCTCCCATGGTAAACTGGACTTCCATGGTAAACTGGACTTCCATGGTAAACTGGTCTCCCATGGTAAACTGGTCTCCCATGGTAAACTGGACTTCCATGGTAAACTGGACTTCAATGGTAAACTGGTCTCCCATGGTAAACTGGTCTCCCATGGTAAACTGGACTTCCATGGTAAACTGGACTTCCATGGTAAACTGGTCTCCCATGTTAAACTGGACTTCCTTAGTAAACTGGTCTCCCACGGTAAACTGGACTTCCACGGTGAACTGGACTTCCACGGTAAACTGGACTTCCATGGTAAACTGGACTTCCATGGTAAACTGGACTTCCATGGTAAACTGGACTTCCACGGTCAACTGGACTTCCACGGTGAACTGGACTTCCACGGTAAACTGGTCTCCCACGGTAAACTGGACTTCCACGGTGAACTGGACTTCCACGGTCAACTGGACTTCCACGGTAAACTGGACTTCCATGGTAAACTGGACTTCCACGGTGAACTGGAACCCCCCCCCCCCCCGCTCTTGCCGTGCTACTCGTCGTACCCAGGCCGTAAAATCCGGCAGGACGGTGGACTGCCCACGCGTCGGCGGCAACGAACACGCAGGTGGCCCCCCCCACCACCCCCACCACCCCCACCCCCGACTCCGCCCTCACCCATTTAAAAAGCACAGCCCAGTGTGTAAATAATTAAAAAAATGTCCCAACGTTTGGCTGGAGAGAGAGAAAACGTTAAGAAAGATTCCGTGAACCCTTCACAATGTCTTTAATCCTGAGAGCCCCCCCCAAACCCCCCCCCCTCACCTTGAGCTCCTCTGGGGGTGGGGGGGTGGTGCTATGCTTTTTGCTTATTTGAGGACAGCCCTGGGCAGTATCAAAGTGCTTCCCCCCCCCAACCCCCGCCTCCGCTCTAAAGAAAGCAGGAAAGGAGGCGGGGAGAGGTTGCCCGCACTTCTCCGCTCCGGCCAAGCCTCGCAGATAAACACGCAGGATCGGGGAATGGGGGGTGGAAAACGTAGGGCCGACGAACCAAGCCTACGGAACGCAGGCTACGGGGAGAGATGGAGCGAGAGAGAGAGAGACACGCCTATTCCCCGAGGTCGTGTTCAGCGCTGCTCGCTGACGGACGGACGGCAGAAAGTCCGATACGATAATAAGATGTCGGGGCAGACGCAGAGAACAGGCCGATGGAATACACACCGCGGAGAGGGAGAGAGAGAGAGAGACAGGGAGATACGGCTCGCTAACGCACGGACGGACGTACGTACGGACGGCGGGCAGAATCCCCGAGGTAATGAATATGGACGAGTGGGCAAAGCCGAGAGCCTCGGGGGTCCCCGGGCAGAGCGAGAGACAGGAGGTGCGCCGTTTGGGACAAACGTCGCTTCCGACAACTTCCACACCGAGATCACAGAATACGGTTGAAGATGTAAACAAGTTGGAGGCCTAAACTCCCAAGGTAAACTGAACTCTCATGGTAAACTGGACTCCCATGGTAAACTAAACTCCCATGGTAAACTGGACTCCCATGGTAAACTAAACTCCCATGGTAAACTAAACTCCCATGGTAAACTAAACTCCCATAGTACACTGGACTCCCATGGTAAACTAAACTCCCATAGTAAACTGGACTCCCATGGTAAACTGAACTCCCATGGTAAACTAAACTCCCATGGTAAACTAAACTCCCATGGTAAACTAAACTCCCATGGTAAACTAAACTCCCATGGTAAACTAAACTCCCATGCTAAATTGAACTCCCATGGTAAACTGGACTCCCATGGTAAACTCCTCCTGGTATACAGGAGGTGTTGGCTCCCTGACGCCCGCTGCTGTATATTTGGAGTTTGCGTGTCTCTCTCTCCCCTTGATCGAGTGGATTTTTCTCCAGGTCCTCCGGTCCCCCCCCCCCCCTCCTCCACGTTTAGAATCAACGTCACCCATTTAAGGGCATTTGGCTGCTCGAAATTTCTAACGTGATGATGACAAGCCACTTCGTTGAGCTATCGTTTGTTTGTGATGGCCAAGAAGGGCTACGCAGACACGTCCAACATTATAAACATACTATTAAAACAAGCACGGTTAAGCGATGCGTCAATGAATATTTATTGTAGCAACTGCAGTGCGTTTTTTTACGGGTTTATCGCCGGTAACTACACTACTCTATACACTACTAAACACTACACTACTCTATACACTACACTATACACTACCCTACTACACTATACACTACACATTTGGCTCTATGGACGCACTACACTATTCTATACACTACTAAAAACTATACTACTCTATACACTACACTACTATATATACTACCCTACTACACTATACATGACACATTGCGTTCTATGGAGGCACTACACTACTACCCTACTAAACACTACACTACTCTATACACTACCCTACTATCCACTACACTACACACTACGCTACTACACTATATACTACACATTGGTATCTATGGAGGCACTACACTACTCTATCCACTACACTATACACTACCCTACTAAACTATACACGACACATTGGGCTCTATCAAGGCACTACACTACTCTATACACTACCCTACTACACTACACACTACACATTGGGCTCTTATGGAGGCCCGTCGTTAAGCGATTAGTCGTTAACAGCGTAGCTCGTTAAGTGGGGGGGTCTAGTGTATACATATATACACACTTGGCTCTTTGCAGAACGCATGGTGTACTTGTTGGCCTGTGGGTATCTTACAGGTTGTCCACTCCTGCTACAGCCCATGGGACGGAGCATAATCTGACACCACCCCTCGGGTCACATGACCAAATGTGCCGTGGGACACCTGCGGGCAATCTGCCTGCCCATGGATTGTGATGACGACGATGGTGACCTGAGGTGACGGGATCGGTCTCGTCCACTGAGAGCGAAGTGTGTGCGGGGGAAGCGTGCATCATCATCATCGTCATCATCGTCGGCATCATTATTATTGTTTTGGTTAAAACCGCGCCACCGCGGTTATGAACCAGGCCGTCCCGCGGGCCGTCAAAACCGCGAACGTTCGGCGACGATCAGCGGGCGGCGAAACTCACCTGTGTGTGCACCAGCCCCCTTTAAAAGGAGGGGGCAAGGTGGGGGGCAAAGTGGGGCCGGCAGGCGCTGCCCCCCCCACCCCCCCCCCCCCCACCAAAAAGCAATGCGGGCGGCTCATAATGGGCGGCTCACAATGGCTCGGGGGTCTTAAGAGGGACACAATGGGTGGTGGCGATCGCCGGGGTGTGCCAAAATGCCGAACATCGCACCCGCGAAACCATCCGGAGCCGCTTGGAAATCCGACACAGCACGGCCCACAAGGACTTCACGCACGCCTGCCAGCCGTGCGGGCTGCTTCGCCGTCGGGACGCAGCCCGCACGTTAAATGGGAACAGAGAATCGAGCCCCGTCCCTGGGAGTGGGGTGTGCGTGCGCTACGTGGCTTCGTTTCGTTTATCCGTGCGTTGTTGCGTGCGTGCCCGTGTGCCCGTGCGTGTGTGCCCGTGCGTGTGTGCCCGTGCGTGTGTGCCCGTGTGCCCGTGCGTGCGTTGTTGCGTGCGTGCGGCCCTTCATCGGGTTCACCGCCCGGATGAAGGCCTGCGCCGGGCCCGCGTCTCCTTTTCGACCGTAGGGGTTTGTCTGACCGTACTTCGCCACGCCGGTCAGCGCGGGTGTTGGGGGAGGTGCGGCGCGAGGGGCAACCCAGGACCGGTTTTGGACGTCACTCGCCACGGCCCGGGAATCCAACTCGGGTGGCCGGGTTCGGAGCGCAATGGCGCGCCGACTGCTGCGCCCCACCGCACGGCTCTTTGACCTTTCTGATCAGATTTCTGATTAGAAAGGTCAAAGAGGAACGGCAGCCTCTGCAATTCCCTGCCCACGCCACTGCCGGTGGAAGGGTCGCCACTGGAGGGAACGCTCTCTCTCTCTCTCCCTCGAGAGAGTCTCTCTACAGGGTATTTGGCCTACTCTTCCACGATGTCCAACTACCATACCGTAAACATGAAAGCACGGATGACACCTTTGGGGACAGCCGTCGTTTATGAAACAGGTGCTAGTTTTTTTTTCTTTCTGTGGAAGCGGTCCGACGGTCCACGTTTTTCAAGTTGGACAAACGACACCGCAAATTAGCCAAACCGGAGACCACACACACAGCAGCAATCATCGCCCCCCCCCCACCTCTCCCACCGCCGCCCCTACTGGCAGACTCATGCCCCGCTCGCAGGCCAGGCGTTGGGTTATCCTGCGCCGCACAGGGACAGCTGCTACCGGGGGGTACCCCCCCCCCCCCAAGGTTACACCACACAGCGATCATCGCCCCCTGCCCCTAACGGCAGACTCATGTCCCGCTCGCAGGCCGGGCGTTGGGTTTACCCCTCGCGGCGCACACAACTTCGTCGCCGGCGATTCTGAACACTCACACGCAGGCTCCGGTGGCGTTGGTCTGCCTCGTGACGCAGCGGCCTCCGTTCATGCACGCCAGTTGAGGGTCCAAGCAGTTCAGCCCTGAGTCGCGAGCGAGAGAGAGGCACGCACAGAAAAAACAAATGCAGCAACGGTCAACATCGCGGCACAAACAAAAACAAAACAACGCAGCAGAGCTATAATCGTGACAATAACAAAAATTAACCGCTGCAGCGTCATAATCATCACGGCCCCTGCTGGATACGGAGCGATTTGTCCGGGTGCAATCGCCAGTGGGCTTGCCGCAATGTGACGATACCGCGCTCCGTATCGTACGATACATGGTGGACGGTAATTTTTGCTCGCCCGTTTTTCACCAATGCAGTCGTCGCGATTATGGTTCATCTCGCATACATTTTTTTTGTTCAAAACATTTTTACTTCCCGAACAAACTTTCGCGCATTCCAAAGCGTCAAGAGATCGCAACGTCGTTGCGACGATTAAGACCCCGTCGAAATCGGCAGGCACTTTCGCCAACGTTCGTTCCAGCAAGCCCCCGACAGCAAACGTCAAAACAGGCTCCGGGGTTCTGCTCGCATTGAACCGAACCGACGCTCGCTGACAAGATGCATCTTTTGCCAAGAAGGCCGTTCCGGCCAAACGAGTTGCATCAAATGCATTTTTTCCTACATTTATTATGGAGGAAGGAGGCGGCGGGGGGGGGGGGCATCACTATAAAACAGGGGTGGGAAATATCCGGCCCGCGGGCCGTATAAGGCCCGCAAAATGATTTGATCTGGCCCTGTCAAGGCAACCGCAGGCGGGACTCGAAATTCAATAAATCTAGGAGCAAACCTGGAAAAGAAGTTGCGAGTAGCAACTCCGTCAATACCGGCTAACATCACACGCTTCGCCCAGCCATCGCATTAGGGGTGAGTTAATAAAATGTTTGACCAAATATAAACGGGCTAATTTTTAAGTTGATAATTTTGTATGGCCCGCGAATGATGTTATAAATATCCAAATGGCCCTTGACAGAAAAAAGGTTTCCCACCCCTGCCATAAAACTATAAACAATTTTTTTTTATTCTATCTGGCGAGGCCCCACTGAGCTAACTTAAGCTCTTCTTTTAGAAGCGACCTGGCCAACGCCAACGATGGCTCATCGAAGCGACTTTTCATCGTCGTCGTGAAAATTGACTTGCAGCCAGGTACCCTCAACACAAATAGCTTCGAACGAACGCGGCAGCAAACCTTCGCCAGGCGACGCCGATGGAATCACTCGGGGCCACCCCCACCGCAGCCAAACCCACAAACCAAAAAACTTCTCCGGAGGAGAGAGAGAGAGGGAGAAAAGTGAACAACGGCCTGCCGTGCCTTGGAACGAGCGAGCGGCCGTCAATTGTGCCCAAATCTACTACCAACGTCATCTTCGCTGCATTGGTGGGGGGGGGGGGTGAGCAAGGGGGGGGGGGGGGTTACGCGGCCACAATGATCCGCGCTGACAATATCCCTTTGTTGCGCTGTGTGGTTGGTTGGGTGGTGGTGGTGGCGGCGAACGGGGCGGTTTTAATTCATTTATTTTGTTTGTGCTGCCTTCTGTTGGCATTGTGATTGGGGGGGGGGGGGGAGACTGCTTTATTGCACGAAGAATTTGAAGGTTGAGGTCGTGTTAAGAGGTGGTCGGGGCCGTGGTGGGGGGGGGGTTAGAGGGCAGGCGAGATGGGTGGGTGGGTGGTTTGTGCGGACTGCAGTGCAGCGGCCAGCGATACGCGACCCGAGCGCCAATCCCGCTCGTGGCCAGCACCAATGACGATTATCTGAACCGGTCCTGGGCCTTCCCCTCGGTCGACTCGGCCTCAAATGAGTACCCGGTGCGGTGTGTAGTAAACATCGCCACGGGGGAGACAAAGGCGGCCGGGCGTGATGCTGGCCACCCACCCCCTCGTGTGCCGTACCGGCCTTCGTATGTGCTACTCGCTAACAGCACTTGCCTCCGATGGTCTGTGAAGGCTACACGGGGCATCTTTGTCTTTGTCTCGTTGGTGGGAGTGGTGGATGGTTTGAGGGTGTACAGCTGTGTGTGCGGGGAAGAAGGGTGGGTGAGTGGGCGGGCAATTGAGTCGGTCTGTCGGTGGGTGGGTGTACGTATGGGGTGGGTGTGTGTACCGCTTGTGCGAGTTCGCGCGCGTTATGGGTGGATGGCCGTGTGGGATGGGTGATTGAGTCGGTGGTGTGGGGGTGGGGGTATGTCTGCAGTGTGCGTGGTGGGAGGGTGGGTGGTTGTGAAGATGGATGGGTGTATGTATGGGTGGGTGTGTGTATGGGTGGGTGGGTGTGTGTATGGGTGGGTGGATGTGTGTGTATGGGTGGGTGGGTGTGTATGGATGGGTGTGTATGGATGGGTGGGTGGGTGTATGTGTGTGTGTGTGTATGGGTGGGTGTGTGTGTATGGGTGAGTGGGTGTGTGTATATGGGTGTGTGTGTATGGGTGTGTGTGTGTGTATGGGTGAGTGGGTGTGTGTATGGGTGAGTGTGTATGGGTGAGTGGGTGTGTGTATGGGTGAGTGGGTGTGTGTATGGGGTGGGTAGGTGTGTGTTTGGGTGAGTGTGTGTATGCGTGGGTGAGTGTGTGTGTGTGTGTATGGGTGGGTGAGTGTGTGTGTGTATGGGTGAGTGGGTGTGTGTGTGTATGGGTGAGTGGGTGTGCGTATGGGGTGGGGGTGATTGAGTCAGTTTGAGAACGGGTGCGGTGGTGGGGGTTTGGGTTCTGGGACACGCATTCCAAAGCGTGGGAAAACTTGCGACATCTGCTCAGTGTGCAAACACACCCCGACGCAGAACCACACAGATCACGGCACAACCCCCAGCACCCCCCCTCCCCCTCCTCCTCCTCTATTCAAACCCCATTGTGCATCCTGCACCAACACACGACAAAGATCCCCCTCCACACTCCTCCCTCACCCCCCCCCCGCCCCCGTATAGCCTCGACAGACTGTTAGGATGCAAGTTGCTGTTAGTAGCGAGTAAGAGCCACCCTAAGACGCTGGGCAAGGGCACACGTGGTCAGTACCATGCCCGGCCGCCTTTGTCTCCCCAGTCGGCGATGTTTTTGCACCCGGCTGCGACGGCTAAGTCATTCGAGGCCGAGTCGACCCGGGGGAGGTCCCAGGATCGGTTCGGTTTAATAGTCACTCCTAGTGTTGGTGGTGGTGTTGGTGCCGGCACACACACGCGCAGGGAAAATCCTGGACAGCAGAACACGCGCGCGCGTACACACGCGCACAAAGACAAAGATCCCCCGTATAGCCTTAACAGACTGTAGGGGCAAGTGCTGTTAGCGAGCACCTATGAAGGCCGGAATGGTACACGAGGGGGTGGGTGGCCAGCACCACGCCCGACCGCCTTGCCCAGTGGCAATGTTTTTATCCACCGCACCAGGTACTAATTTGAGGCTGAGTCGACCTAGGGGAGGCCCGGACCGGTTCAGATAATCGTCACTGGTGTTGGCCGTGAGCGGGTGAGCGCAGCATGCTAACCACTACACTATCGCTCCCCACACGCACACACGCGTGCTCGTATACACACACACGCGCGCTCGTATACACACACGCGCGCGCGCACATATACACACACACGCGCGCACAACTGCCAAGCTATCAAATTGCCAAGAAAGTTAAGCTAACAATTGGCATCACGACCACCATTAAAAATACGCGAACTCTCCACCCCATAATTTCAGAACAAAAAGAAATAAATTACGGAGACGCTATCGCAAACTCAACAATGTCCCCCAATTGTAAAAAAAAAACATTATATGGAATACTAGCACCGCCCCCCCAACTGCACGCCTGCCCCCTTAATTCGTCACAGCGACATATTTTCAAGTTGGTGTGGCTGCAGAATCAACATCGTTGAGCGCAAGCTGGAAGTTTCTGCGTTTTTTTTGTTGTTGCTCAACCCGAGGAATTTGAAGAAATTCAAAAAGGAGACTCCTCCGATGAGGCCCTCACTTTTGCGAATCGAGACTCACCCCCCCCCTCCCCCCTTTCCTCAACCCCCATGGGGGGTTGAGGAAATTAACAAAGAGAAAAACTAAATGGCAACGATAATGACATTTATGAACGCGCCAGATTGTGCGGAGCGATCAGCTTCTTTCTCAGAAGAGACCTGGGCCACAAATAAGCTCAACGAGGTGGCGTGTCAAACATCATCATCATCACGTGGAAATTCATAGCAGTTACTGTCGCCAAATACGTACAATTTTTTTTACACGTTTGCCATTGTAGTATTAACTTCAAACATATGTAATAACAGCAAGGTAAAACGCACCAATGAACGTACAAAACGTTGTTAAGGAGTTGCCCGGCTGTTTTTAAAAGTAAGGATGATGGGGCTCATATATCCATGAAACGAAACTGTTTATTTTGCCAGCTAAGGCCTACTGAGCGGCTATGTGACTATTTTTCAGAAGCGACCAAAAATGCCAACACATCCAAGTGGCTCATTATTATCACCATCACCAATCATCACGTGGAAAATTATAGCAGGAGCCAAATACTCTTTGAACGCATGGCCCTGTTGATTCTAAATGTTGAGGGGGGGAAAAAAAACCTGGAGGAACCGGGAGGAAAATCCACGCGACCACGGGGAGAGAGAGAGAGAGACACCACAAACAAAATAATCTAAATCGCACGTTAAAAAAAGAAATGTCCAAACTCTCAATCCTAAATCACCGGATTCCTCCAGATTTCGAGAAATCAACGTGAAACAATGACAGTCCCCCCCCCCCTCCCCCCCATACGGCGCAAGTCGAAGTTCATTTTTAGCTCACGCGGTCCTAAGACAGTGGCAATGCCGATACGTTCAGAAGCACGCGGGGGGGGGGGGGGGCTAAAGGTACGCAGACAGCCCTGCAAATGGCAAAACGTGCCAAGCGCTGGCGGAAAGTGTTGTGCCCGCACACAGCCTCCGAGCTTTATACCATCAATTCAAAAAGGCAGGGTACACAAACAAACGTTCCGGCGAATGAAATAGCTTTCAACCGGCGTTACCGCCGGCCCCAAATTCGACCAGCCCCAGCCATGGCCAATCCCGCCGCT